TGCTTAATTATTTTAAGACCAATTTATAGGATATTAAATTTTGAATGCAAATCTAAATTGAGGTTATATTGGGAAATGAAAATTGTGATCACCCCACACACATGAGATACACAACTTGGAGCCTGCATGTGCACAGAACGCAATGTGGTGCATACACTATGATACCTAAAAGCAACCTTTGATAAACTTTTATTGCTTTTTTTCTGTTGTTGTTGTGTTCTATATCTGTTCTCTCCAGGCTTCGTGGACCCGGCCCGAGAAACAAGAGGTATAAGATTACCAGACCTTTAGCAAACTTCTTAGTTTTTTGGTGGTTTTGTTGGGTTTTTTTGTTTGTTTTTTTGGTTTTTTTTTAAGCATTACAGATTAACAAATCTCTAGTCCAGTAACCTTGCCAACTAAACCAGCATTAATAATATGAACAAATTAAATATCAATACATAAAAGAAATAGCTTATAGAGTTAGAAGTTGCTTGGCATGTAGTAATGCATTTTTGGATGAGCAAACTAGCTGTGTTGGGAGTGAGTAATTCTGGTTGTCGCTTTAAAAAAAAAAAAAAAGACAAAAATAAAAGCAAATGTAAAATCTGACAAATACTGCTTTCACCATTTTATTCTATGCTACCAGTGTGAATCATATCTCTCTTCCAGAGTTTTAAGAATTAGCAACAGTGTGTATTCTGGGAAAGTTGGTTGGTTGGTTTGTTTTTTCCCAAAGATAGCCTCTTCTGCTCCAGCCAACTCGCCTGTTTGCTCATGGTACTCCTTAATTTTGACCTTCTCTTAAAGGACAACTGCATCATGTTCCATTTCAAAATCAATGCAGATAAATCTTTCACAAGTTATATTTCTCCAGAAAATGCTCCAAATTGCTACATTATTATTTGCCTTTGATTTGCAAGGGTCAGTGAGGGGGTGTGCGATAATGTAGTAACTCAGTTTGGTGCAAATGTGGTTGGTTGCTGTTTTATTTCACATTCAGTGCTTTATTTTAAAAATAATAATAATCTACCTTTACATGTAGCATTCTTGCTTCAAAATGGACCAGAAAGTATGTTTCCGAGCAAAAAATAGGCATCAGGTAGAGAACAAAGTTAGCTATCGTAACTGGGTGACTTGTATTTTTAGGATCAACTTTGTGAAGGCTCTGGGTATCCTGGATTCTTTTTTATTCTTAAGCCATCTTAATTCAGAGAGACTGGTGTGTCCTAAACAATGTGAACCTCTACTCAAGCACTGTCTGCCTTTGTTTCATACAGGGCTGAGAAGATACTGCCCATTCTTACTTCAAAATAATCCGTAGGAATAGATGAATTGTGGCAAGTGAAGGCATTGGATATTCAGACCAGTTTGCGTTGAAGAATTTGGAATTTGAGTAGTTGTATCTCTTCAGGCCTCATGTTAATTCCTATTACAGTTGTCTCCGTCTCCCCCCTGCCCCAGTGTTTTCACTGTGCTGTCTCAAGCTTTTTATTGATATGAGTACTAATACTATTAAGCTTGCTGTCTCTGAACTTCTTACTGCGTCTGTGTCTTAAAATATCCAAGTGTGGGGTTCCGTGAGAATGCTGTTGAAGCTTATTGTTGCAGCTTGTGTAGATATATCTTTAAAATAGCTAGCATGGGGTCTTTCAGCAGTGTATTCCAGCAGCAGGGAGTTCAGTTCTCAGGAAGCTGAGTGAATACATGGCATTGTTTCACTCTTACTAATACATTAGCTAGTCTAAAGTAAGGAAGTCTCTATGAGCTTCAGTCATAGCAGCATATATGGGTGTTAAATCTTGCTTTCCTTGCTTTGGAGGCACAATTGCAGTTAGCTGCTTCTTCCTCTAAACCATAGTCAGCTCTGCTTACTGTGTACAGTCCATAATGACTCAGTTCACCATTCTGGTCCTGCATATACTGAAGAATTGTTTAAGTCATATTAGCAGTATATGCTAACAAAAAAACCCCAGATTTTGACGAACAGATGCTAAAAAAACTCATTTTCAAGCAAAATTACACCACAAATTGGTGATGCCTTTCTGGTAGCTGGGAATTAGTGTAACCTTACACATATTAAGAGCTGCAGATGAATTCTGGTTAGTGCAGTGCAAGCACAGAGCTAGGAGAGACCACTTGTCTTCCTTCACTAGAATTTGTAGCTGTGGTCAGGATTCACGGGTGCTGTTTTGTAATGATGTCCACCGTGTGGAAAGCAGGTGAGGAGAAGATAAGACTGTGTGAAATTAAGTCATGGATACTTGTTTGTGAAAAGACTGGAAAACCCAAAAGGTGGAGGGAAGGGGGGTAAATGCATTTCCTACTTGTCTCTCCTCTTCCCCTTTGGCACTGAAGTATCGAAATCTAGGCCAGCTTTGTACATAGTGACTATGTGCTGCATGGCATTGTCAGAATTTTCAGAAAAACACCTGCATGTAGCTCCAGATAAGCTGTAGTAATCGGCGATATAGAGAACCATCATACCCTTTTCTGTAGAGTGGCAGTTGCTATGGCATGAGTTATTGCCTATGTCCCTTAGGTTGTCTCTCCATTACTATGAATCATTTTGTCATCCAAAATCCTCGAAATCAAAGAGGCTAGGTAAAGGGATTACAAGTGTCTACATCTGGCTCACGAGTTTCTACCTATCCTATGTCTCTAATGGCCAGCAATTGTTAGCATCTGATGGTCAGAAATATGAATAAAGAAAACTAGTAGCATGCTTTCTTAGGTAGACATTCTTCTCATCTTTGGAGTATTTTTCCTGATCTTTCTTTTTCTTTACCTTGTGCTTTTTGCATTAAGAAACAGAGCTTCATGTTCACAGTTGGTTGCATTACTTGTAAAGTTATCATTTTACCACAACTGCCTACCACACTTCTGTTTGCATTAGATCTTGACAAAGTGGGGAAAAGGCAGGTGACACTGGATTTAATATTACATTTGCTGTAATGATCATGTGCTGGTATTTTGCCATGTTTATACTCTTTCCTGCTGATGGGGTCATAGGGACGAGTATTTAGAATGTTCACCCAATTCATGAGCTAAAAGAAGCTGGGAGCCTCTGCAGATCTGGAGTCTTGACATTTATGGATCCTACTGCAATAGTTTCAGAAGTGAGCTGGGTTTTGTAGTCAAATCACAAATCAGACAAAAGGATAACAATATAGTCAGCCAGTGAAGAAAGATAAAAGCAGAATTTGGTTGTGTAAGATACCGCAACAGACTAATATTGTGTTAAGCGATCCTTCCCTGGTTCTAGGAAACGATGCACACACCACCACATGTACAGGAAATAAAGAATTGTTCCCAGCAACACAAGGGACCAAGCACAAGAGAGGGAGTGGAGTTTGTAGCTTGTCACATTGGTCAGGGATTGCAGCAGGACCTGTGTGCAGGGTAGAATAGAGAAGAAAAATACATATTATTGGTTTTGTGTCATCAAAGGCTACTATTTTTGTGCATATGAAATCTGACTAGCTCAAATGAGCTAATATTTAGAACTAACAGAGGTAATCACATTTACTTGTAGAAACTTTGTCAGTCTCAGAGATTGAGACCACTAGCTCAAACAGGAAGAGGCTTCAGGCCCAGAGGATCCGACCGCTTGAGATACCAGAGATGTACTTTGTGCTACAGCTCAGTGCCTTTGGCTGTTTAATATCCTCAGGGTTTTTACTTATAATCTCAGTACTTGTCCTGTATCTTCCAAGAACGTTAATGCTCTTGGAGCATTAATTGCATTAAGTGTGGCAGGCTGCAGCAGCAGGCACAGCCACAAGGGTACCTAATTTGTTCACTTGTGCTTGTGCCGATTAGGAAACTAGATGAGAGAGTTGGTGCTTTAAAGCTTCCAAGCTGAAGCACAAGCACCAGGGTGGAGGGAGAAGTCCATGGCCTTATGTGCTTCATGTATTAAGAGAGCACTTGGGCTTTGGTCATAAATTGGAGAGGGGAAAAAAAAAAAAGTGATGTGGGATGGGATCGCTGGGTGGCTGCAATCCCTTTGAGCAGATGGTAGCCTGATTTTACATTCCTTGTCTCTCTGTCATGGACATCCCTGCACTTTCTTGCATGTGGGAGCAATTTCTAAACTGGCATATAACCAATGCAGATTTCTCTAGAATTTTCTTGAAGCATGACAAGACTTTGAAGCAGGGTTATCTCTAGAAGGGTCACATAGTTTTCTTGCCCTGTTCGCTGTACCTTGCTCTCTTCAGTGCCATGTTCAGGTGAAAGTTCTGAGCTTTCATTTTGCCTGATTCAGCTGTGAGGTCTGGATCTGTTCTTATTCATGCTATTTCAAGGTCACTGAAATAAAACAAGTATCAGTGAGAGAAGAGGAAGGCCTGAATTCTCTGAGCAGTAGCAGTTGGGGAGGTTTTCTAAAAGAGCATGCTGGCAAAAATTTTTCACCAGAGCTCTAGAAGGGTCACATAGTTTTCTTGCCCTGTTCGCTGTACCTTGCTCTCTTCAGTGCCATGTTCAGGTGAAAGTTCTGAGCTTTCATTTTGCCTGATTCAGCTGTGAGGTCTGGATCTGTTCTTATTCATGCTATTTCAAGGTCACTGAAATAAAACAAGTATCAGTGAGAGAAGAGGAAGGCCTGAATTCTCTGAGTGGAAACGCAGTAGCAGTTGGGGAGGTTTTCTACAAGAGCATGCTGGCAAAAATTTTTAACCAGAGCTGGATCTCTACAATTCTCATTCTGGGAAGAAGCTTGATGTTATCTAGCTGTCCTCAGAGTAGCATCTGATACTTTGGTCCTCCATTTCATTTTTTCCCCTTCTCCTGAGTGCTTTGAATCACTGCAGTTGGCCCTGTGCGGCAAGGAATTTTCTTGTTGCTTTTGGAAATGCCTCTCTGTGCCCATGATTTCACCTGGCCTCAGGTGATCACTTCTGAAGTACTGAGCACTGGAGGGCTGGTGTGAGGTAGACTTGCATTTGTTCCCATCCCTTTAGTCTGCACCACAGCCTCAGAGCTCAGCATCTAACTCTCTTTTCCTTTCCTGCCAGACCCTGGATGGGCGCATCGTAATTCGTAGCCATGCCCGGGTGTCGTCCCTGACTCTCAAAGAAATTCAGTACACAGATGCCGGAGAATATGTATGCACAGCCAGCAACACCATCGGGCAGGACTCCCAAGCCATGTACCTTGAAGTGCAGTGTAAGAAGCGAAGGATGGGGCAGGGAAGGGTGTTCATGTGTTTAGAGGGGGGACTGTTTTGATTTCCTTTTTGTGTGATGAGACTGAGGCACCTATGGCTAGGGAGATATGTGTTGTTTAGGTGGAATGCATGGGAAGCAACTCAGTCTGAAATAATTTTGTTGGAGACATGTTGCTGTATGCATACATGCAAATGTTTGCTCTAGCTGTCTCCAGCTGGGATACTGTTTGCACCTTGGGAAGATTATGGGCCATCAGTCTGCCACAGTCCCACTTCTTGGGTGCATCAGAGTTCTTCTCTAGGAGAACTTCCTGGTATGCGTTTCCCTAGATGCATAGTGTGCTGTCTGCTCCTCCTCCCACACCACGTCAGGAGCAGCCTTTGGGACTGAGCAGGTTTCCTCCTTACATCCTTCAGCAAAAGACACCACCCATCCCCCAGATGAGAAGACAGTTCCTGTTTCCTATATTAGATTCCCTTCCCCATGTTATACTGGACGCCAGCCAAGGGATCCTTAAGGTAAGGTTGGCTGGGCTACGTCAGGAGATTTTCTGGCTTAAATCGCCTTCACAAATGTGTGTCTTTCAGATGCCCCCAAGCTTCAGGGCCCTGTGGCTGTCTATACCTGGGAAGGCAATCAAGTGAACATCACCTGTGAGGTATTTGCTTACCCCAGTGCTGTCATCTCCTGGTTCCGGGATGGACAGCTGCTTCCCAGCTCAAACTACAGCAACATCAAGATCTACAACACTCCCTCAGCAAGCTACCTGGAGGTGAGGAAAAGCAAGGAGGGTAGAAGACATATGCAACCAGGAAGGCTCAAGTACTATCAAATAATTTATGTTCCTGATGTTGAAGGAGTTAAGTCTTCTGTCGGGGCACCCTGTTGGTAGACAATCGGGTAATAGAAGACACCACCCCCCACCTTGCCTTTGACTTCCTGCCCACTGCAGTTCTCTCCTCTGTGGACAGCCCTTAGAGTGTTAGCACATGTACTTTATTGTGGCTTCTCTCCCTAGCAAAATGCAGAGTGCATTCATAGAGTGAAAAGGGTTTTCTGATCCGAGCATGAGCCTTCATTCCTTCCACAGGTGACACCAGACTCTGAAAATGACTTTGGGAACTATAACTGCACTGCTGTGAACCGCATTGGCCAGGAGTCCTCAGAGTTCATTCTTGTGCAGGCAGGTGAGCATCCCAGGCAGGGAGATAAGGAAATGTATATGCAGCCCTTGAGCTGAGGTGACAGGGTGACTGTTCTTTTCTAGTTTGTGTTGGTGGGGTAGCAGGAGAGCCAGCTTCTACTTTCAAAGAGACTGTTCGTAGATTTTTGCGTTGGGATGGCTTGTAGATAAGAAGATCCTCAGTATCTGTTTCCTTTCTCTGAAGGGTCTCATTCTTTTTTTGCACTTCCACTTTGACAGAGCTGTGATCTTTGATTTCTGACAGCTGTTGCATATGTGCATATGCGTGCACACGTGCTTCTCAAAATCAGCAAAATATCCCTAATAATACAGTTAGTGCAAGATAGAAACCTCAGATCACCGTGTACCAACCAAAGAGGCCTGGTGTCTGACTGCATGAGAGACTGGAAGGGCTCTGCATGACTCTGGTGTCCTCTTAGGGCTGCCATAGAGACATATTTAGGAATGGTCAAGCTATGTATTGGAGTGCCCTATGGAAGAGATTGTAGGGACAGAATAGCATCCAGGATGGTCTTGCTACTCTGCTCTAGTTGTCCTTTTTTGAAGAAGCTACTGTAAGTCTCTAGCCTCTTGGAGGAGAGACAAGATGAAGGTCTCTGCACTGTCTAATTAGCATTCTTTAAAGCCTTCTTAATAGCCTTCTCCTCCTGAGGGAAGCCTCAGGTCTACCCTTCTCCTCTCCTTTTTGAAGCCATGATAAGGGTGTGTTTGATATTCCCAGTTTTCTGTTTTCTTTGCCGCTGGAGCATGTTTCCCCACTGTCTTCTGTATCACTGGTTGTTTTCCCTTCCTCCCCAGATACTCCGTCCTCTCCTTCCATTGACAGAGTGGAACCCTATTCCAGTACTGCCCAGGTGGAATTTGATGAGCCTGAAGCTACCGGCGGGGTGCCCATCCTCAAGTACAAAGCAGAGTGGAGGGCACTGGGAGAGGGAGAATGGCATTCAAGGTTGTATGATGCAAAAGAAGGTACGATGATAAAGCAAGATGTCACCTCCCCCACCTGCATGTGAAAAGACTTTCTTTCCTTTAGGGGAAAGCCAGAGTGGAGGGTTCCATAGCTTTGCAATTTCAGCTCCTATATTAAGGCCCCAGACAAGTTCTTAAACATTTGCTTTGCAGTGACACCTTGAATTTTCTTTTGGAAATGAGGGCTCCACTGTGCTGATAGCTCAATGTGTGTGACAGGGCACCAGCCTTCTCCACCTACAGGGTGTGCATTGTAGCACTAAGTTCATCTCCGTATCCCTTCCTTGTTCACACCATCCTGTCTGAATAAGGTGAAGAATCCTGTGCCTGGTATCACATGACATTTTGCTTGCTGACTGGGGAATGACTGTGTGCTTCCTACAGAAGGCTTTTCTAGCCTTGTCTGTGAGCCCCTTTAGTAACCCTTCAGTTCCCCTTGGAACATAAACCCTCCTATTCCAGAAGCACATCTAAGTCCCCTTACACCCTGTCTCGTTACAGCAATCTATAGGAACACACACTGCTTAAAATGTATCCTGAAGTCCAGTAAACCAGAGGAGTTTTGATTTGGGAGGACTATGAAGAGGAGAGTTCTATTTCAGAGCTGAATCTTCTACCACCAATCCTGGCTGGAACTGAAATTCTTCTTTTAGGTCCCCGCTGGAGTGATGTGATCATAGCTAGAGTCAAGTTTATTTTTCTCATTTCTCCCTTTGTGTCTGTGCAGGAAGAATAGAGCTTGCTTATTTCTTCATATCACAATGACCCCACAGCAGGTTCTTTCCACCTCTTACATTGTGTCTGACCTCCTTATAGATTGTTAAAGGAGCGAGATGGGTTTCTCTCCTGCTAAGGCCTTTGATTTCAGTTGGATCATGCAGCCAAATAGATGAGCAGTTCTAGGTGGTATGTCTACTACAGTCAGAGCCCCACATGACAGTGGTCTTGAAGAGCATTATTCAGGGAGCTCCTTGGCAGAGGCCAAGGGCTGATGTCCTCTGGTGTCTACCACAAACTCCACTACATCCCCTCTAGAGAGGCGGTGGCAATACACCTCTAATTGGCTGGTTGACAGAGAGGTGGAAGCTCTGACCTTTCCCTTTGTCTACACTGTTTATGTGAGGCTCAGTCCAGAAGAGGGCTCTGTTACATGGCGTAAGCATGGCACAAGTATACGATAGAAACATGGCATTTATTATGGACTTAAAGCCTAAGCCTTTCTTTGCTTTTCCTCCCTTGTTTCTGCAACAGCAAATGTGGAGGGTGTGATCACTATTACTGGCCTGAAACCTGAAACAACCTACTCTGTGAGACTGTCTGCAGTCAATGGCAAGGGTGTGGGTGAGATCAGCCTGCCATCCGACTTCAAGACACAGCCAGTTCGTAAGTAAAACTGAGACCTCCCTCTGCTTCTCTGGTTCTCTTTCCTTGCATCTTTCCAGGGAATCTCTGCCATGCATGGATGACACCACCTTCTCTTGCAGACCTTGCTGCACCCTTTGTTTTTGTTGTGCTTTTTGGTTGGAGTAAATTTCATTACTAATTAAAAATCTTTGAAGGTAGGAGGCAGAGGAACTTTTATTTGCAGTAGTTTGTGCCCTGGGTTACTCGTATAAACTTTGTATTGTCAAAGAGAATGGGCTATGCAATGGAGAGTTTTAATAAGAAAAAGCACTGAGTAGAGAAGGGCATTAATCATAGAGAATGTAATGTCATTGTTGCAAGGCAGGTTTTTTTGCAAATCAGAAATTAAGAGGTTCAGCATAGGACTGGCCATGAACTGTGGAAACTGCTTAAAGGTGCCCATGCAGCCCGTAAGGTGATTTCCACAGCTTCTTGTTTGCTTTACTTGGATAATCTTCCACTCCAATGGCAGGATGCTCTGCTGTGGCCTAACACTTTCCCTCCTGTTTCAACCAGGAACAAAAGAGGCAAGAATTAAAATCCAAAGAGTTATGCAAGACAGGAAGGAGAGAATGAGGGGAAAAAACGTTTAGAGTGGGTAGGGCAGATGTGAAAAAAGCAGGCAGGCAAGAGTTGGTCTGTTATACTTGTACACGGCCTCATCCAAGTATTAGGATCTGTATTCAACTGCCTACAACCCCTGGGGTTCTTCTTTCCCATTCCCCTTGCATTTAGATCTACAGCCTATTCTTCTCCCCACCACTGCACCCATACTTGCGTACCTATTTCATAGGTCTTCTGAAACCACTATGCAAGACCTTCTCCTGAATTTAGAGCTAACAATATTCCTAGCCCATGTATGTGCATGCTTTGAGGCTCTGTGAGCTGTGCATGGTCTTGATTTTGTCTGCCAACTTCTGCCTCACCAGAACTGCTGAGCGGTATGGGATAGTACATATGCCTTGTTGCTTGCAATTCCCAGGCTCTGTGCAGTAAGCCAGCCCTTGCAATTGATGTCCAGTCTGTTGTGATAACTCCTGTAACCTTCCCCACTCCCTAGGCTTGGATTTGAGACAGCTGGTGGTATTTTGATTTTCCAGCTCCATGTTCTCCATCTCCTCACCTCCTCTACATTTTTTTTTTTCTCCTATCTCTGTCTTTTCTTTTTGTTTGTGTTCCATCCATGGAAAAACTGCAGGCATCCCTCACTCACGTAAGTGCCTCCCTGCATTTCTTTCACTCTTTTTATGTTCCTAGAGTGTTCCTTTAACATACATAACATAGCTTTTAATCTAGTACCTTTTTCCTCTCAGGGTCTTTAGAAATGAAGTAACTGGTACTGTCCATTTCCTAACAAGACTGACACTAGAATAGTCATTCTACAATGGTTAATACTGCTCTTTTTAGAACAAAATTGGGGGTTAACATCTTTGTCTTTATTGTAAAGCATGCAATTCAAATATTTAACTTAGTGATTGTCTAATAATAATAGTTAGCTTGTTGATTGGAGTGGAGTAGTGGAAGGCTTCGTGTTTATGAATTGATTAAAACTTTTCAAATATTAATGAAATGCAGATAATTCAGGGAAAAAAAAAAACAGGAGAAAGTTTTAGCTAAACTGCAGATCTGGTTTAGACCAATTAAGAGCCAACCAAAAACTTCAGAATTTTTTAATATCTTCACAACTTTGAAAGCAAAAACTTGAAGAAAAAATTCACATTTTTTGCCTCTTCTCACTAATACTTTTTACCGTTAGTAGTCTTTGGACAGTCTTCCAGCACTTGTATAGATTGTATACTCAAATAAATAAATAAACCTCATACTAAATAAAAAAATGCATGTTTCCCCTTTCCCGATGCAAAATGAGTTAGAGAGATTTGATGGGTATGTTTTAATTGTCAGTTGGGTTCAGTGAAACACTGTATGCTCCATAGCTTCGTGCCTTTCAAATCTGAGTTACTTAATGGCAGCTAAAAGAAACCTCTTTATCTAAGTGAACATTAATCTGTTTATTAAAGTATGTGTCCTTGTAGTGAACTGTTGTTATTTCCAAGATTGCATGGGCAAGCTTTATGAAGCTGCTGTTGCATTCTTTGAGATTTCTGAAGCTGAAGTAAAAAATGGAAAGATTTTTTTCTTTTTTCTTTTTTTTTTTTTTACCCTAATTACACAATTTGAATCATGCTTGTACTATTTTTCATTAAAGATTGTATTATACAAAAGCTTGGACTTAGTGGACCACTAACAGGATGAATGGATTGGTAGTCAAGATGAATGAATGAATAAATGGACAGATGGATAGACAGAATTGCAAATTACAGTAGTTACAAAGAGACAACTGGGAGACATGTTTCCAGAACATATGTGCAGTCCATTTCTTAAAATTGTTTGGAGCCTGTTAATTTCAGTAGAAGTAATATAGCCCTTATATGAAGTTAATCACGGTTAGCATTATAACTATCAGGCATACGATTTGGTAGGCCCTTCTGAATTGGACATAGTCAGTGATACACAAGGGAGATAAGGGCTTGGGTGTTCAGTCTCTGTGCAGATCAGTACCACAGGAAAAGGGAAAAGATCCAATTAAGAAGAGAGGAAAAAGAACATTAAAAGCTTTGTTTCAGCCACATCGACAGATCTGTCTGCCAAGCCTCGTGTTCATCACTTGGGGACAGGTACGTGGCTTTGAAAAATGTTAAATCACGCTTGTAGAGGAGTTTTTTGGGTTTTGGTGTTTTTTGGTTGTTTTGGGGGTTTTTTTTGTTTGTTTTGGGTTTTTTTTTTTAATGTGGCAATCAGTTATCAATCAGTCTGTAGTCCCTAACTCTGCTCCCTTGTAGGGTAAGTTCCATTTCTTTTTTCCTTCTTTGTGGGTACGTTTTTTTTTAATTTACAAATTAAATTCTGCTGGTGCTCTTTCAGGCACGTTTGTGCCTTGAGCTGTGATCCTTCTGAGTGTTTGGGTGTCTAATTCTTTCTCTGCTCTCTGGGGTTCTCAAAGCCCATCTCAGATCATGAACTGGGTTGTAGCAATGGCGAAGAGATTGTTGGAACAACAGAAATGCCTTTTTTCATCTGTGCTGGAATTCCAGTCACACAATATTACCTGTTTGTGGGCAAAGTCAAAACATGAAAAAGTTGGGTGTCCCCTAGTCTGGTGTGGTTTGAAGATCACAGATGTGTTTCAGAAATTTTACAGGAAAGAATATAAAAACTGTGTTTTGACACCAGCCAAGGCTGTATTGTCAGACTAGCCAAAGCAACTTGGTTTTGTTGCCGTATTATTTAAAGTTTCTACTTGAATGTAAAAGAATGACACCATTTTTTAATGCCTGCTGGGATTATTTTGTTAATTTTTTTTTCTTTTTAATTTTCATCAGTAAGCAAAAAGTAGTTTCTTTCTATCTTAGAGGCACATGAAAGCCCAAGTAATTAGTGATAATGATGTACTATACTAGCGCAGATAAGAATTGTGGGGTTGGGAGGGTATCTGTCTAACTTGACCCAGGTTTGTATTTTCATCCCAACAATTTACTGGTCTTCTGCATTTCCTTCTCCTTATAAATCTGAAGACGAACAAAGGCTGCACACAGACCTTGTGAACAGTTTCTTTTTGAGCCCCAGCTGTTTCTTGCTGTTGTGCAGGTGGGACTCAAATGTGTCTTTAATGACGAGAGTGTGTGTGTGTGTGTGGTGTGGTTGGTTTTGATATCAAAATATCTTAATGTAAAAAAAAAAAAAAAAAACCCTAAACCAAAACCCCACCAAAAAAACGAACAACAAAACAACACTAAAATAATCCTCAAATTCCACCAGGTCCTAAGCTGGCAATAGGATAGTTAGCAATGGCCTTCACCAAAACAGTGGTCGAGCAGGCTGTGTTTTGCTGCCATATGCGCAGTGCTGGCCAGCATCTCTGCTGGCCTTAAATGGCATTGGTTTGAATTCCTGGGAACATTGGTGAACAGTGGTGTGTGTTCAGTGATCCTGTGTTATGACAAGGTTGGTTTAAAACAAGAACTCACAGAGGATCCAAAATGCAGGTCTGGCAAGGTGCAAGTACTCTTGGTTGCGCTCTATGTCCAGAGAGGCTTGATCTGACAAGATCTTACCAATTTGTTTTTTAATTTTCTGTCTTTTGGCAGTATTTAACAGGAATCAACTCCCCTCCTCACGCTCCTTTCTCTTTCTTTAGCAAGTACTGCTGCACCCACCTCCCGTTTAGCAGAGAGTGAGTATGGTAGAAGAGGCTGTTGTCTTTGTTCCACTTTGCATGCATCTCCTCACTGCGTGTGGTGCAGTCTGCCTAACATCCTTGGGTGTTTTCCTTCTTTTCTGTATAGACGCTCCCCGCCCACCC